AGCTTGTGTGGATCCTATCAGAGCCCTGTTGAGTCATGGTGCTGATGTGCGACTACTTTATTTCAACAAGGGGCCCGAGCAGGTCTTATTCCGACGTCAATTGGATGCTCTGACAACACTGTACCCCAAGACTTATCAAATTCACTACGTATACACCCGACCTGGTCAGGAGCGTGATAGGCCTGGAGAATTGACCGGTCGCTTGAACGCTGATATGCTGGCTGATGTGTTCAGTGACTGGTATGCTTTTCCTGTACGTTTCGAGTCTGCAGGCAGCGACAGTGCCAAGGCTCTTGCAAGGCAACTTGTGTCCTCTGCCAAGCATGCGGGTAATTGGAAAGACCGAGTTTATGATATGCCCTTGGGGGAATGGCTTGGAGAGACACTGTGGGAATAATTTAAATCATACTCATACAAGTGTTGAGTTTCGAAGTGTACACCATGTCATACGTACTCTTATCATTCTGTAGGTCCAACCATGTCGATGCTATCGAAAATAGATTCAATGTGGGTTGTTCAGGTCGACGGCGGTTAATAGACTAGATACCATGAACAATTACCATGAACACATCCACTCGGGACAACGCTACAATCATTGTTTCCTTGAAAAAAATCCAACTCCCGCACATGTGCAAAACAATATCAAACAAAGAATGAACACGGCCTCTACTCGATGGTCAAAACATGATCAGCAGTAGTGAGTTTAGGCCACGTAGTCGTTACCTTTTCCATCACCTTGCGAACCTTATTGATCGCCTGCAATACAGACCATATGAGTAACACCTCACGTCGGTAGCACTTACCTTGACAATATCGTCGGTCGTTATGTGACGGTGAGTGACGGCCCTGATCGCCGATCCACGTTCAATGCATATCATCTTCACGCAGACCTCATCACTGTTAGCGAGAGCTTCGACGACCTTAGCACACGTGGCTCTATCCTGTACCTGAATACAGCGATAACACCTTTTACTTCACTCCACGTGTCCTACCTTTCTGTCCAGTCCCCAACGAATCATATTGGTCTCAGTGGCGTCCACGTCACAGGCAACTCCATCAATGCTTGCAAGTCCTTCAGCGAGCATTTTGGCATGCTTATGGTCCTCAGCCAGCCTTTCCACCATGTCGTTGATAGCAATGCGGCCACAACAGGCTACGACACCGACTTGTCTCATATTCCCTCCGAGCACCTGAATATCAACTCCATGCCAGAATGCTGTGGACAGTCCTGACTACTTTGCGGAAGCGGTGCGCCAGAACTGCATCGGCCTCGGTTCGAG